TTAAAAGCCAAACATTCACAATTCCTGTTTTTCTCTTTAAAGACAACCTAACCCAATTTGCAGGCATGCTCTCTCTTTCTTTGCACTGTAACCTGCATGGAAGGGAGAGGGAGAGAAGCCCGGGAGCGTCAGGTGAGCCAAGCTGGCCACCTTCTGGCCCTCCCACCGGGCAGAAACAGAGAGGCACACTCGGCGAGGAGAGCGCTGCCCCTCGGGGAAGGCTGCTGGTCAGCGGAGGGGGAGCAGCCCATATATCGACCCATATACGTTTGCTTCTTCCACACGAGAGAAGACCTTAGGTTATGAAGTCACAGCCGTTTCATCAGGCAAACGAGCTGTTACACGAAAAAAGAAGTTTGTGATTACAGCCCATGAGCTTCTGCTGTCTTTCGGACAATCAAACAAGTTCACTGGTGTCATTTGAAGTGGCAGGAGAAACCTGCAGGCTCTCACATGTGACTACAAACCCACCCCTGCCCTCGGAGGTGGCCGTCACCCGCGCGTGAAGGCCGCGGGGCAGAGCCCACAGCGGGGAGCAAGCGCCGGTACGCCCGTGCTGCCGCACGGCATCAAGAGCTGCTTTTTCCCTGGTGAAAGCACCCGCCCCAGCCCAAAAGCTGTGACCTTCACTAATCCCCAGTAAAACGTTCACCTGCCCTTTGCCACCGTGGGCTGAGTCCTGCGAGAGGCGGGGCACGACGCCTGGAGGCAGGGACCGCCGGCCGCCTGCCTGCTGAGCGCAGGTGAGGTTTGGGCATCCAGGCTGGCTCCCCTTCGGCAGCTGTGCAGCGCAGCACCAGCAGCGCAGTATTTGATTTCTAGCTCCCAGCTGCAAAGGTTGCACAGGGGTGGGAGGTGGGGGTGAGAGGCACAAATTGGGGTTAGATTGTTTTGCAGGAAAAAAAGCAGCAACACAACAATCCCTCGAGCTACAATACCCACACGCCCTGATGTACGCCACGATTCCTAATAGTCATCCCCCATCTTCCATGAGGTAAAAGAAAATTATACTTTTTTTTTTTTTTTTCATGAGACTTCTCCTAAAACAGCTCAACATGCTTTTTAGGGTTAAGTTTGTCAAAAAAGAAAACAGCAGGGAGGGAGCAATCCCAAAAAGAGCTTGGCAGGCTAACAGCGTTTCAGAGCGCTGCTAGATTCTGATTTCATGCAGCAAATGTAAAGGGAACTCCCTCAAGAAAATTGGATTGCATATTTAAAGAAGAAATAATTCTACAACCTTTGCCTCAGCTAACATTGTTCTGACACCAAAGTGTCTACCTAGGGACAGCTGTTTCCTCTTCATGACTAAATACATGAATAAATTTATTCCATAGAACAAAATACAGGATTGTTTCATTTGCCTTGCCTGATTTCTGTTTCTAGTTCCCCCCCCCCCCCCCCCTTTTTTGTTTTCTTT